TTCTCTGATTGACTTATTTCATTTAGCATAATATTCTCCAGGTTCCTCAAAGGATAAGAGATCTTACCTTCTTAGAGCTGCATAGTATTCCATTGTGTATAAGTACCACAGCTTTTTTTATTTACTCTTCTATTCATGGACACTTGGGCTGTTTCTGGATCTTAGAAATTGTAAATAGTGCTGCTATGAACATAGGGGTACATATACTCTTTCTCATTGGTATTTCAGGCTTCTTAGGGTGTTTCTAGAAGTGGGATCACTGGGTCAAATGGCAGTTCCATTTTTAATTTGTTGGGTTAATTTCTGGGTTCTTTGTTCTGTTCCATTGATCTATATGCCTGTTCTTGTGCCAATACCAGGCTGTTTTGATTACCATGGCTTTGCTGATATCTGGTATTGTGATCCCTCCTAACTTTGTTCTTCTTTTTCAAGATGGCTGTGGCTATTTGGGGTCTTTTTTGTTTCATATAGACTTGTGGAGTATTTGTTCTAGTTGTAGTGAAATATGTCATTGGTATTTTAATGGGGATTGCACTGATCTAAAGATTGCTTTGGGTAGTATGGACATTTTAATGATACTAATTCTTCCAATCCATGAACAAGGTATATGCTTCTGTTTCTTTATATCTTCTCTTTCTTTTTTCAATGTCCTGTAGTTTTCTGAGAACAGGTCCTTTACTTCTTCAGTTAAGTTTATTCCTAGGTATCTTAGATTTTTTGCAGCAATGGTAAATGAGATTGCTTTTTTAGTTTCTCTTTCTCTAAGTTCATTATTGGTGTATAAGAATGCTGTTGACATCTTGTTAATTTTGTATCCTGCTACTTTTCCAAATTCATTCATTAAGTCTAGTAAATGTTGATGACGTCTTCAGGGTTTTCTATGTACAATATGTCATCTGCGAATAAAGACAGTTTTACTTCCTTCATTCCAATTTGGATCCCTTTTATTTTTCTTTCTTGTCTAATTGCTGTGGCTAAGACTTCCAGTACTATGTTAAATAAGAGTGGCGAGAGTGGGCATCCCTATCTTGTTCCTGTCCTTAAGGGAAATGCTTTTAATTTTTGCCTATTGAGTATGATGTGAGCTGTAGGTTTTTCATATATGGCCTTTATTATGTCGAGATATGAACCCTCTATTCCCAGATTGCTGAGCGTTTTTATCAGAAATGGGTGCTGGATTTTGTCAAATTCTTTTTCAGCATCTATTGATATTATCATGTTTTCTTTTCTTTCATTTTGTTTATGTGGTGTATCACATTTATTGATTTGCAAATATTGTACCAGCCTTGCATCCCTAGCATGAATTCCACTTGGTTGTGGTGAATAATTTTTTTAATGTGTTGCTGGATCTGATTTGCTAATATTTTGTTCAGGATTTTGGCATCTATGTTCATCAGGGATATTGGCCTATAGTTTTCTTTCTTTGTAGTGTCTTTATCTGGTTTTGGAATTAGAATTATGCTGGCCTCATAAAATGAGTTTGGAAATCTTCCTTCTTCTTGAATTTTTTGGAATAGTTTGAGGAGAATGGGTATTAGATCTTCTTTGAATGTTCAGTAAAGCTGTCCAGGCCTGGGCTTTTGTTTTCTGGGAGTTTCTTGATTACATCTTCAATTTCCTTAGTTGTTATTGGTCTGTTCAAGTTTTCTCTCTTCCCGGTGCAGTTATGGGAGACTGTGTTCCTAGAAATTTGTCCATTTTGCCTAGATTGTCCAATTTGTTGGTGAGTAATTGTTCATGGTATTTTTAAGTGATCCTTTGTATTTCTGTGGTGTCAGTTGTTACTTCTCCTCTTTTGGGTCAGATTTTGTTTATTTGAGTCCTCTCTTTTTGTTTCTTGGTGAATCTGGAAAACGGTCCATCAATATTTTTATCTTTTCAAAGAACCAGCTTTTGGTTCCATTGATCTTTTGAACTGTTTTTTGTTTTTAGTTTCTATGTCATTTATTTCTGACCTTTACTATTTCTTTTCTTCTTCTTTCTCTGGGTTTTTATTTTTGTTTACTTTACTATCTAGATCTTCAAGTTGTAGGCTTAGAAAGTCAATTAGAAATTTTTCTTGTTTCTTGAGGTAAGCCTGTAGTGTTATAAACTTCCCTCTCAGGACTGCTGTTGCTGCATCCCATAGATTTTGTGTTGTTGTGTGTTCATTTTCATTGGTTTTCATGACATTTTTAATTTCTTCCTTGATCTCCTAGATAACTCATTCATTGTTTAATAACATGTTATTTAGCCTCCATTTGTTTGAATGTTTTTGTGTGTTTTTATTGTAATTGATTTCTAGTTTCATGCCATTGTGATATGAAAAGATGCTTGATATGATTTCAGTTTTCTTGAACTTGTAGAGACTAAGTTTGTGTCCTAACATGTGGTCTATCTTTGAGAATGTCCTATGTGTACTTGAGAAGAATATGAATTCTGCAGTTTTGGAGTGTAATCCTCTGTAGATATCTATTAAACCCATTTGATCTAGTGAATCATTTAGAGTCTCTGTTTTCTTGTTAATTTTTTTTCTAGAGGATCTATCCAATGATGTCATTGGGGTGTTGAAGTCCCCTGCTATGATTGTATTGCTGTCGATTTCTCTTTTGAAGTCCTCCAGAAGTTTTTAAATGTATTTTGGTGCTCCCATGTTGGCTGCATATATGTTTACCAAGGTTATATTCTTCTACTGGATAGATCCTTTTAATATTCTGTATAGTGGCCTTCTTTGTCTCTAGTTATTATCTTCATTTTGAAGTCTATTTTATCAGATATGAGTGTTGCTACCCCAGCCTTTTTTTCTTTCATTTACTTGAAAAATGTTTTTCCATCCCTTCACTTTCAACCTACGTGAGTCTTTTGTTGTACGGTGGATCTCTTGTAAACAATGTATGTATGAGTCATGCTTTCTTATCCATTCAGCTACTCCGTGTTTTTTTGATGGGAGCATTTAATCCACTTACATTTAAGGTTATTATTGATACGTACTTATTTATTGCCACTGTTTTCATTATGGTTATATTTCTCTTCCTATTTCTTCTGCTCATTACAACAGTCTTTTTAACATTTCTTGCAGTGCTGGTTTGGGGCTAATATATTTCCTTAGCCTTTTTTTGTCTGGAAAGCTCTTTATTTGACCTTCTATTTTAAATGATAGCTTTGCTGGATAGTCTTGGATTTAGGTCCTTGATTACTTCACACCATTCCCTTCTGGCCTATACTGTTTCTGTTGAGAAGTTAGCTGATAGCCTTTTGGGAGTTTCTCTGTTAATAACCTGTTCTTTATCTCTTGCTGCTTTTAGGATTCTCTCTTTGTCTTTTATTTTGGCATTTTAATTATTATGTGTCTTGATGTGGGCCTCTTTGGGTTCTTTTTACTTGGGGCTCCCTGTGCTTTTTGAGCTTATATGCCTTTTTCCTTCACCAAGCTAGGGAACTTTTCTGTCATTATTTCTTCAAATATAATCTCTAATGCCAGCTCATTTTTTTCTTCTGGCACTTCTGTGATGCGGATGTTGTTAAATTTCATATTGTCCCACAGTTTTCTTAGGTTGTCTTCCTGTTTTTTAATTGTCTTTTCTCTTTGGTGTTCTCATTAGATGATTTTTTTCTACCCTGTTTTCTAATTCACTGATCTGGGCCTCAGCTTCCTCTACTCCATTGGTTATTCCTTCCATTGTGTTTTTTATTTCTGCTATGTCATCCTTCATTTCCAATCGGTTGGTTTTCAGTGTTTCTGTATCTTTACTCAAGCTGTTGAGCTCACTCGTGATTATTACTCTGAACTGTCCTTCTGATATCTTGCTTAATTTTATGTCATTTATTTCTTCTTCAGCAGAATTATCTTGTTCTTTCATTTGGGATTTGTTTCTTTGTTTCACCATTTTGGCTGTCTCAGTGGGTTTTGGAGCCTTCCAAATTTTCTCTGTGGGTGTTGGTGTTCTACTGGTTGTGGCTCCCTCTACTGGGTTTGGATGAATGTGGGAGGACCCATGTTAAACACCACAAATGTTATTTTCCTGGGTAAATTTTCAAGCCAATTAAAGATTCAGTTATCCTCTAGCTTTTTGCCTGGAGGCTATTCGTCTCAGTTACTTGATGAGCCTGTTTTTGTAGCCCTCAGATGAATGAAAAAAAACCCTCAGGCGTAAGAGGATTTCCAGTGGGAGGGGCACGTGCTTGCCATCAGACTCCATGTTAATAAGCCTCAATTTCCATTTCTCTGACCTCACCTGGTGGTTTGGAATTCTTTTGGGAGGGGCATTGCTTCTCCCCAGGGTTCTGGGAAGGGGTTCTTTGAGTAAAATGGCTACTGTCTTGTGAGGGAGTGCTTCGGCACACAACTTCCAGTGTCCTCCCATCCAGTTCTTTCCTGAGCCAGGATCCCTGGACTCTCTCCACACAGTTCCAGTCCAGTCTGCCGTCACTTTGCTGGAGCCCAACGTGAGTGGCTGTAGCTAATTTTTAAGACCTCTTCTTTTTTAGCGGGAAGTGTGTTCAGCTAATACAGCTCTCCACTGCTGTCCGTGGGTTCCCAGCCCGCCCTCACATGCCTCAGCAGTTTCTACCTGGCTTGACTTGGCATCCTATTTCTGTCCCTGGTTGTACAGGTTTTCTCCAGCTGCTTTTCAGTTGTTTTTTTTTCTGATATTTGTCTATATTTTAGTTGTAATTCCAGTTTGGTCCTGGGAGACGGTCTGTGTAGCTTCCATTTACTCTGCCGCCATTTTCCACTCCCCCGATGGATTTATTTTTGTGAATTTCTCCTTGTGCTGTGGCAACCAGTATTATCCTCAGATCTTATTTGACAGTCCTCCTCAACTGATTTCAGTGTCAAGTATTGCATAAAACATTTGATTTACATTTAATCTTTTCTTGTTAGAAAGTTATTTTTTTAATCAAAGCTTCAGTTAGGTATATTGTAATGCATTTCATAGACAATAACCAGCTGTATTTCCTGTTAATGTATTCTAAGAAAGCATTAGATGCTAGTTACATTTATAATTCTTTGTGCACAGGCTGCTTTGTACCGCCTCAGTGGAGACTGGAATCCGTTACACATTGATCCTAACTTTGCTAGCTTAGCAGGTGAGTTGCTAATAATACATACCAATAAAAATATCAGCTCGGGTATCTCAATAAGATGTGAAGACATTGCTACTAATGACTGGTAGTTTAAGTAACATTTAAAAAATAGCCTTCTCATAATACATTTATGCAAAGGATATGGAAAGGTAGGAAATAGTGTTTAGAGAATGGTGTACTTGAAATTGAGATGATGGTGGAAGGAAGCTCCTGCTAGTGCAAGGTCTAGGATAGGACCATGGAGTCAGTGTCTGAGTTATCGTAAAGGGCAAGACCATCAGAGGAGAGAGCAAGAAACTAAAAGCTTAGGGAAAGATTATTTACATACATGGATATTGAAATCACCATAGATAACTGCAGGGTTACAACCAAAGCTAAAGAAAATGATGCTTTATGTTCCCAGATCTCTAACATTCCTTCAAAAATTTTTTTTCTTCTTTTGTTTATTTTATCATTTTTACCTAGGAGGTATTGAATATTTTCCATGTTTCTTAAATAAAAGGTATAGTTCATTCTAATGTAATTTAAAGATATATTTTTGAGGAAAGAGTCAATGGGGAGAAAAGGGGACATCTGTAGTACTTTCAATAATTAAAAAAAAGATACATTTTTGAAATCCTGAATTAACTACTCTTGGTTTTTAAACATGAAATGTGCCCATATCTAGATAAATTCTCTCTCTCTTTTTAGGTTTTAAAAAGCCCATATTACATGGATTATGTACATTCGGATTTTCTGCCAGGCATGTTTTACAGCAGTTTGCAGATAATGATGTGTCAAGATTCAAGGCAATTAAGGTACATGTAGACTATTGCATAATTTGAACATTAGGTGTTTTATTTTTTTATTTTTAGAGAACAAAAGGAATTTTAGTGACTTCTTTTAAAATAGGTACTGTTCTGAACTAATAAACATTTTTATTACATTGACTTGGCAAGTAGCACGTTTTATTTTTGTAGCTAAAAATTCATCTGTTACACATTTATCATGGATATATAGAGTTGTAATTTTAACATATTAATTGGATTGTTGTATACATTAATTAGGAGCATACACATATTAGCATATATGCTTTAACAAAAACTTGAGATTCACCTTAAAATTTTTTTAAACTGTTTTGTAATTTGTCATAATTTAATTGAAAATGTCAAGTGGCTGCATTTGAACTCTTAATAAATTTACACCTACATCAATATGATGGTAGCATTTTGATTTTAGTTTTTATACTTTTAAGTGGATTCAGGTTTTCATCCATTACAAATTACAAAGAAAACTATCTCTGAACAATATCTTTGAATAAGTATAAGTCAAAAGATACACACTAAAAAAAATTTAATAGAGTCAAACAGCTCCCAAAGCTTATCAGTTTGTACTTCATGTAGCAGTGAAAATAACATTTTTCTGATGCCTTTGATAACAGTGATTTCCTCATGAATTTCGTTTTATTTTGACTGTTTTGGTGGTTACCTACACAGTGCTACTTAATATAATTATGTTTCTGTTTCTTGGTTTGCCAGGATTAAACACTATTTATTGACTCTGTACTTTGAAAGACAAAGAATTAGCTTATACTAACTATGTCCTTTCTCTACTTATTTTATCGTATTATTTTTATTGCTTTATAAAGGTAAATATATGTAAACCTTTTTTCTTCTTCATATGTTCTTTAACTTCCCTCCCAGTTTTTTCCATCACAGGTAGAAAAGTTCCATTGTAAAACATTTTCAACTCCAAAACTTTTTTTTTTTAAAGGCTCGTTTTGCAAAACCAGTATATCCAGGACAAACTCTACAAACTGAGATGTGGAAGGAAGGAAATAGAATCCATTTCCAAACCAAGGTATGAAAAATGTGTTTTACTCACTTTATTATATCCTAGAATTTTGTTCCATCTTCACATTTTTTTGTTATTACTATGGATATGAGACAAAAACTTAGAGTTTTTGTATATTCTGTGGTAAGTTTTATTTGGAAATAATACACCTATGTACCTTACTTTTCATTTTGTTTTATTTTCAGTAAATTGGTTCCTTCTGTGTAGCAATGACATAAGTGTTCTGAAAACTCAACCAACCATACACTTTTTGGCTTAAGCAGTCAGTCAAGTTGTTGTCAAAGTATAGTCTTCAAAAAATTAAAGACATGGTTCACAGAGAGATTTAAATGAAAACATGACAAAAAAAATGTATTTAATTCCTTACTGAGATAACCTAGCAAGCAAGATGATGAAATTGGTTCAAAAGAGAATTAGAACAACAGTGTTTAGTCCAATAGGAAAGGCATTCTAAAATTCTTTTACTGAGTTAGACAAAACTAGTTAATGTCCTAAAGAATAATAAAACCATATCCTTTATGGCTATGTTTTCTACTGGACAGAAATCCTGTGCATCTTAATCACACAAAACTCCACAAATTAACATTTTACGTCACATAGTCTAAGCCTAATTATAAATGACAAGACAAATAAAAGTGTATCTCCCTGTAGAGTTAAATACTTTTGGGTGAGGCTCTTAGCAGCGCTCCAGCAAAATAGTGTAGGAACACGCAACCATCCTTTCACTGGGAGTTTTTTAAAGATCATTTTTTTAACACAGTTGACCAGTTTGTTACTTTTTGGCCTGATCATGTACTACATAGATGGTTTATGTTCAGCAGTTTAAACACTGAACATATAATATAACATGCTATGCTATGCTATGATATAATTAATATATACTATACTATACTATACTATACTATACTATACTATACTATACTATAAACAGTAACAGCTCACAGTTATTGAGTACCTATAAGCTGGCTATACCATTATCTCTAACATGTATAACAACTTTACATTTAATATAAGAAAATCTAGGTTCAGGTCTTCTAAATAACTTCTCATGGTCACACAGAAAGTGGGATAGAAACCCAGGTCTGCCTGGCTCAAAGCGTAGATCCCCGGGCCATATCTTTTTACTATATTATGATTTCTTTCATAAATAAATAACTTTGCAGAAGTCTTCTTCCTGTGGTTGCCTTACTCCTAATTACTTCCTGCTGCTTGCAGTATCACCTTCCTGCTTAATTTATGCATACTATTTATTTCAGTTTTCAAATTCTTGATGTCTTTAGACTTCAGTTCAAACTCTGCCTTGCCCTTAGAGGCAGTCCCTTAGTTACTCTCCTCTTTCCTACCCATGCATACACACATACTAGCTTTATCTGAAATCTTGCAGTGAATGTTTGTGCCACATAATCTGGAGCCATCTTATTTTTCAGTTATTTGCGTAAATTTTATTTTTGGAGTAAGATTATGAACTCAAAGTAATGAGGACCATGACTGTGCTATAGATTTTTATTTTCCCACAATTGTAGCAATGAACAATACAGAAATAACTTCTATGGCTACAAACTCACAGGGCGGAAATACATTCAATCCAAATAGAATATGTTCTTGCGCTTTGATAAATCTAAGCACGTCTTCCTACCTTTTCAGTGTTTTTGCTATTTTTCCCCTCAGTGATTAGATGAACTTTTTCTATTAATTATATGTAAGAATCCCCCCTTCCTCCCTCCCTTCTTTTCTTCCTTCCTTCATATTGTATTTTAAGATACATCTTAAACTAATGTTCCAAATGATATGCTTGGCTTGGTTACAAGAAAGTAATTTATTAAAGTGTATTTTGTTTATAAATTGTCTTTTTGCATGCTTTCACTGTATAGAATTTGAAATAAAATGAACAAATTGAAAGATCTTTTTTCTGAAGTGTGATATGAAGATTGTTAATCCTCACCCAAGGATATTTTTCCCATTGATATTTAGCAAGTGGAAGGTAGGGGTGGACGGGGGTAGAGTGTGAGAGAGAAACATTGATGTGAGAGAGACACATCAATTGGCTGCCTCCCGCATGTACCCTAACCAGGGCTGGGGATTGAACCCTTGACCCTTCTATGTGCCGGCCGATGCTCTAACCACTGAACAACACTGGTCAGAGCTCATACATATTTTTAAAAGGACTCCAGTTGATTCTACAGTTAGGGTAATAACAATTGTATTAAATTAGTAAAGCTTCAGGTTTATTCATCTTGACATTTCATTTGTGAACTTTTTATTTAATTTGGATTTTTTTTAATAGGAAAAAATATAAATTTCTTTTAAGTGACTTTATACTGTTTCACATGAAGTTGTGTTTTCATTGGGATTATCAGAGTGAATTGTTTTATTTTTATTTTTGTACTCCTTATAAGACCCAAGAAACTGGAGACATTGTCATTTCAAATGCATATGTGGATCTTGTGCCAACATCTGGTGTTTCAGCCAAGATACCTTCTGAGGTAGGTGATAAAAACTAGTATCCAAGTAATTTCGTACTTTCTGAATTTCAGTTAGGATCACTTTCAGAATGTTCAGGCTACTTTAAAAAATTAAGAACTGTGAGAGATTTGAATCATTGAACTAAAAGACAGCTCAAAAACTACTTAGAATAAAAAGAATATTTTGACAACATACTTCTTAAAAAACTTTTTGGAGGGGATATGGGGAAGTCTTTCAAGAGAAAATAATTTTCTAGTTTTAAAATACCTAAATCAGTTGTTTAATGAGAAATATTAAGCAAACAATATTTTGGAGAAAGTCAAATGAAAATGTTAACTATCCTGAACCTTTTCTTGATTTAAAATTGCGTATAAAGTTCTGTATACAAATATAAATACAAGAGAATGTATTATATATTAAAATATCTTTTATGTGAGAGAGAAACATCAGTTGGTTGCCTCCTGCACACGCCTGACTGGGGTTTGAACCCAAAACCTAGGCATGTGCCCTGACCAGGAATTGAACCTGTGACTTTCGGTGTACGGAATGACACTCCAGCCAACTGAGCCACACCAACTGAGCCACACTGGCCAGGGCAAAACATTTTTTTTTTATTCTCTACAAACATGCTGAGGCTTTTAATCAATATATATATATTTTTAATATTGCTTATTTTTATTGTTATTATCTGTATCCTTAACAATACAGTAGTTTAATCAACAATTTTGAAGAACTAGGTATCATATTATAGCAATAATAAAAATACCTTTCATTTAAAAAATACTGGTCACAACCCATATCACACATCTTGGATTTATTTCTCTATTTGCTCATTTATTCACTCTTTCGACCAAGAGACTTGTATGGTATCACTGGGGATAAAAGCATAACTGAAATATGGTTCCTGGTTTCAAGGAGCTGACAGTGCAGAGAGGAGACAGATGTGTCGACAGATGCTGAGAAGACAAGTGCTGTGCTGGATTGATCCTCAAATCGTCTGGGGCTCTGGGAGAGGGCGGGCAGACTGGACTGGAACTGTGTGGGGACACTGAGAGTTTTTGTTGAGTCACGGCCGCATAGGATAGCGGCCATCAGCGGCCATCCTGCTCGGGGAGCCCCCTCTTGGAGCCCTGGGGATAATATGTTTATGTTCTCTGCCTCCAAAATATTAACTTTGTAATGTTGAGTTTTTCATACCTTTACCTTCTCTTAAGTGATATAAAATCTCACAAGAAGACTAAGATAAAAAAACATGAGTTTTCATTTATTTATTTTTTAATCCTCTCCTGAGGATATTTTTCCATTGATTTTTAGATAGAGTGGGGAAAAGGGAGGGTTAGTGGGTGAGAGAGACAGAAAGAGAGAGAGACATTGATTAGTTGCCTCTCGCATGACCCGGACAGAGGCTGAGGATCGAACCTGCAACCGAAGTATGTGCTTTTGCCTGGGAATTGAACCCATGACGACCCTTTGGTCCTCGGGCTGACGCTGTAATCAGCGAACCAAACCAGCCAGGGTGAACCTTATGAAGTTTTAGAGCTAGAAGGAAATTCAGTTTTCATATTATTTAGTCCCATTTTACAAATAAAAAAATAAGTCCACAGAAGTTGATTGATTTATCCAGTATCTTCCTATTGAAGTTAGTTAGGATATAGGTTGTCCAGTTCCTAATTTACTTTTTTTTTTCTCTTATCCTCACCCGAGGACATTTTTTGATATTGTTCAGATGGAGTGGGAGGGAGAGAGAGAGAGAGAAACATCGACGTGAAAGGGACACATCGAGTAGTTGCCAACCAGGGCCAGGGACACACTGCAACTGAGGTACATGCCCTTAGCGGGAACCGAACCCGGGTCTCTCGAGACTGCAGGCTGATGCTCTAACCGCTGAGCCAAACCGGCCAGGGCCTAATTTACTTTTAAACTGTTATTTCTGAATTTTGATAAAAGTAAAAACCTCTTATTAAGAAGGTTGAAGTTCTGGGTGACCCAAGTCTGGTGTAAAAAAAAATACTCGTTTGCTTTGTTTAGGTACAGATTTTGGAAAAGTCACCTTATTACATATATATTTTGTAATTATTTCCCCCTTGGCTCATTTTTACATAACTTAAAATTAAATTTTCTCTTTTTCCTAGGGTGGGAACCTTCAGAGTACCTTGATATTTAAGGAAATAGGTCGCCATCTTCAGGATGTCGGGCACGAGGTGGTAAAGAAAGTAAATGCTGTATTTGAGTGGCACATCACTAAAGATGGAAGTACTGCCGCTAAGTGGAGTAAGTCATATCCCTGACTTGATAATATTCTAAGGTAACGCTTAGTAACTAGAGATCAAGTGTCCTTGTTATAGTTAAAGCCTGTCTCTTTGATGGTAGGTAAATCCTACCCCCTTAGGCCAGTTATTTTTCAGGGGAATAACAGACCTCAGGGTACCCAAAGACACGTATGTTATTTTGATGTTTATTCTTTGATGTTTATAAGCCCAAATGTCTTATAGGATTATAAGAAGGAGGTATTAAGGAAGACAAAAATGTAATATGTATTTGGTCTCTAAAGTGTCCAATATTTTTCCAAATAATTTCATAGAGTAACACTATGTATGTAGGTGTCATCACTTTCTTTTCTTCTTTGTGTCCTTCCTTTCTTGTTTCTACGTATCTGTGATGGAATTCAGTTTTATCCCAATGGATGAGTATATTAGAAATTGAGTTATAAATGTAAAGCATAGGACTTTTGAAGATATTGGTGAAGAAGAGAAATGAGATCTATGAGTGAGAAAAGGTGCTGGGACTGTGTTTCTCATCGTTGCCAGAATAGAACTCTGAAGGAATTTATAAAGTGTACAAGTGATTCACCCTTGGCAGTTTCAATAAAGTTCCAATAACCAGCTAAGATTTTCTCCTTAGCTTGGTGATCCTTTCCTTGTAGACAATATTAGAAAATGTGCGTACATTTAAAAATTACCTTGAATCAACCTAGAAAAGGGGTTTTACTTATGTTTCCACTGGAAAAACAGGAACATTGGAATCCTGTTAACAAGTACTTATTATTGATGCCTTGTGGCTTATGTTTGTTTTGTGCTCTTCTTCAGGTGCTCATTTATCAGTTAACAGTGAAATTGGATCTTAAAACTTTGCATGAAAGGATTCACCAGCCCCTTTGGTTATCTGCTGCCTATTATTTGACTGGATTTTTAGCTGTGCAGCTATTTTTAGTTTTGTTTGTTGTTTTCTCTCTGCCTTTGTGTCACTGAGTTAAGTCAGAGTAGCTGGCAGCAGTGGAAACTCTCTGGTATCTTAGCAGGTGACTCCATGTGGGCATCTCTGTTTGCATCTCAGCACCTAATGATGTGAGATAGACGATTGAATGCTTTGAGTGAGGGAATACCTAAGGTGCCTTTTTTTAGTGCTCTTTTTTAAAAGCAGTTTTTTAAATGTTTTGCTAAACATTTTATTACCAAATATTTTATATGTTAAATTGCTATTAGTTGTCCCTGCCTTGTTTACATCTTGGTAGACTAGAACCTAGTTATAGAGAACAGGGCTAAGCTACTCAGTTTACCTTGGCTGGGCTTAAGTGTCACTGGAATTACATAAGTGACTGACCTTGAGCAAGTCTAGGAACCAAGGGGTTGGGCTTAGTGGCCTGGAAGGTGCATTCCAGCCCAAAGATCCTGAACCGTGTCCATCTTCCCTGTTCCCTCCCTCACCCTGCCATCCAAACACCACCACCAACAGATCTCCAGGCAGAATGCCTGTGTGTTGTGGGGAACAAAGGTGTCTCTGAAAACAAACCAGTCTGAATCTAGAGAGAATTAGTCAAGTTCTGGTATTAGTGCTGGGTTAGGGGTGGTTTTGGCTGTGGAGAAGAAGGAGTCGTAGCTGTGTCTTTTGAGGTTAGGCTTCTCTGAGACCTGTCCTGGTCAGCTAGGAGCCAGAGAGCTGCCTGGGTGAGAGCCAGGGTGGCCTCTGTGTCGCTGGGCTGAGATGACCTGAGAGACGCTAGAGAGCCCTTCCTTTTTTTCTGTAGGTCAAGAGTATGTGTATAACGGAGAGATGTAGGCCCTTGATCTGCATGAGAACCCAGAGAAGGGCCTCGGTGAGGTATTTTGGGGAAGGAAGCCATATCTTAGAATACTCACTTGAACCTTCTTAGTTCTACCTTTGGAGACAATGTTTTGATTGTGAAGTATTGTTTACAATGATTAAAAACATTGTGATCCATAGATAGTGCTTCCTTAAGTAGATGAGGTCAAGATAGAAGCCTGTTGTACATTCACTGTTAATACTTGTTATAAATATCAAGAATACAGCGATTTTGTCTGTGTCATCTTTATTACTCCAAAATGTAATTGAATGCCTGGTCATGTTTGAACACCTTTTTTTGATATCTTATACCTTTAGGTGTTTTACCCTTTTGAGTAAAGGTTGTCCTTTGGCTTTTTATCTTGCTAGAGATTCTTGGATTGGTTTGGAAAGGTGAAAATGGACATCAGATGGAGAAGCAATCTCTGCATTCTCTTTAAATGGAGCCTGGTGTTCATCATAGTTTTCTTACTGTATTATGATTTTTTCTAATTCTGTCTCCTCCCACTCGACCTTGGGTTAACACTGAGAAAGAGCTTCAGATTGATTTATTTCCAGCTTCTAGTATGGTCTGTAATACATAGTTGATTCTGTATGTGTTGAATAAGTGCTAAAAGCCACACAGAATGCACAGTTTTAGATAGAATCAGATGCCTGCCTTTATAAAAAAAGTACTGAAAGTGGTGCCTTTAAAAAAAACACACAATAAATTTATTGTATGGATAGTGATATATATTTTCTATTTAGTTTGAGTGAACAATTCAGGAACAATAGGATACAATGGAAACATTTTATTTTATTTTTATTTATTTTTTATCCTTACCCGAGGACACTTTTACATTCATCTTTAGAGCGAGAGGGAAAGAGGGAGGAAGAGAGAGAGAGAAATATCGACGTGAAAGAGACGCATCGACTGGCTGCCACCCACACGACCCCAACCGGGGCCAGGGACAAACTGCAACCGAGGTACATGCCCTTAGCGGGAACCTAGGTCTCTGGACCGCTGGCCGACGCTCTAACCGCTGAGCAAACCGGCCAGGGCAATGGAAACATTTTATAAGTAAGCAATATATTTTATGATATTTATTACTATTAATTCCTGAAACAAGCCAAAAGTTGCCCTTGTAAACCCTTTGGATCCCATTCTGTTCTAAGCAACAGTAAAAATTCAGAGGAAATGAACGATGACCGGAAGGCATAAGAAGATTAAAGAATCAGAGGCTTTATATGGCCTGTAGAATAGTCTGCTCCTGAAAATTAAAACACTTGCTTTTATCTGCACTTCCAGAAACTAAAAGTGCTAGAAATGGAAAGTTTTCTTTCATAACTCATTGGTGGCAAAACCTGACCTGAACTTACATGATGTACCTGATTGTCCTTTTCTTAGTCAAATATAGCAATTGTGTGTTTGTTTATAGAGTGTTGCAATATGGGAGGTCTTTCTTAATATATAATACATGTTCAATGAGCCATATTTTCTTCCTAAAATCTGAAAAATTCAGAATTCTTAAACACATCTGAGCTGAAGGAGTTTAAACAAGGAATTGGGACCTACTCATACACACAAATAATTCTGACAGAACAGAAGTGGTAAGAGACATGGGAAAGGGGCTGTTGGCTTTCTCAGATGGGAGGATTGGTTCATTCAACAAATATTTGAGTATTTGCTATATGCCAAGTTCTCTGCTAGGTTGTGGATTACAAATAAGAAAAGACAGGGTGTGTGTTTTTGGTCTACAGAAATCAGTATTAGAAGCAGTGTATTGGGAAGTTGAAAATTCTGGCATTAAGGAAACAAGGGTTGTTGCATTTCAGATTAAAAGGAAGGAACACCTGTATGTAGATGATGGCAATAATGGAGAGGAAAAGGCTTGTGTGGATCTATTGCTAAGCTTGAATTGACTGACTTGGTACTAATAATACCTGAAAAACAAGAGGAATGAGAAAAGACAACTAATGCTGAAGTGTTGAGCCTGTGTGACAGGATGTTGACTCCATTACTAGAAGTATGAAACCAGGAGAGGAGAGAGGATGTGGTGCCCGGACTGTAGCAGACTGAGATCTGGACTAGGTTGTAGGCACTGTGGGCCTGGAATTTAGGGATAAGTTCACAGCTGGAGACAGAGCTGGAAACCATATTCATGGAAATTGGAACTCAGGGCATTAATCTTGCTACTCTGCTTCATGGCATGTGGGAAGAAATGGAAGATCCTGCAAGATTATCTGCTGTTCATGGTTTGTAGAATAATGGCTCCAGTATTTCCATTTGTCTATAAATAAAGTGAGCATCTTATAATTTGACCATTTTAAATATGCAATTTGCTGTCATTGTTGGCCTAAATATTACCCCATGTTCCCAAATAAGAATTTGTTTATTGTTTGATTATATCTCATAGCTATAAAATAGCTCTTCAACCGAAACTTTTGACAAAGACAGATTTATATTCATGTAATAATGATACACTGTTTCTGAGTTAAAAATGTGTTTTGTTTTCTTTAGGATAGGTTTACGCTGGTCGGCATTGAACAGTTTGGTGGTTTTTCTCCTAAAGGAAGTTTGGTTTCCTTTTACATGTTTGTAAATCTTTTTCATTATAGGAACATAATTGGATTTTACATTTATTATATAGCAAGATTATAGAAATACTATGCATTATTGCTTAAATAATGTTTGTTAAGTAATAAAGTGAGTTGGCTTTTAAAAAATGTGAACCGTAACTAATTGTGTGTAGAGTTACATCTACCTATTTGGCCTAAATCCAAGACTGGATGTTAGAGGTCTTTGTTCTTTGCATGTTAGAAGTTGTCTATTTTGGATCTTGGAAATTTGCCAGAATGAGGAAGCCTGTGTACAGTTTGGGCAACTGCCATTGTTTTAAGCTCAGAATACAGTCATGCTTGAGGATACCATTTGATCGTGAGAACCCGCCAGCTCCTCCGCTGCTGCTCCTGCTCCAGGGGGCACACCAGTTTATCCTTCATGGTTGCTCAGCTTGGATGTCAACCAAATCTTAAGGGTGTTGGTTCCATATGTAGGATTGGAATCCAAATGAGTGTCTCGTGTGTTTATAGAAAAGACTTGAAAGATGGTCTTTGGAAAGAAGATGCTGTCCAGTGTGGGATGGGGACCTGCTTGTTCGAGAGGCACTTACAGCAGGTTACTCCCTATTCCCTTCACCATGGCTGCTTGTCCTCTGACCTGCACAGCCTGGACTGTTTGCTTATGTGCATTAACACACAGAATCTCTTAACATGGCTTTCCATTCTGCTGTGTGTATTATTCATTTTAATAATGTCTTCTTACAGTGTTTTATTTTGAAATAATTTCAGGCTTACAGAAAAGTTCCAGGAATAGTACAGAGAACATATATCTGTCCTTCACCCAATTTTTTCAAATTAACATTTTATTCCACTTTCTTTTTTATCATACATACTGTTTTTCTGAAGCATCTGAAAGTAACTTGTAGACGTGATGTCCCTTTATGCCTGAATAATGTAGTAGCATCTCCTAAGAATGCTTTCTCTTATCTGTGCATGGAATAATTATCAACATCAGGAAATCAACATGGATAAAGTATTATTTAATCTATAGACTTTATTAATATTTCATAAATTATTCCAATAATGTTTTTTATAGCAAAATGATAATAATAGTGATAATGATAGAAATGAAAGAAAAAGTAAGAACTGCTAAGGGTCCAATTTGGGATCATATATTACATTTAGTTTTTAGGTCTCTTTAGTCTCCTTAATCTGATGAATTCCTCAGTCTGTTTTTATTTTTAATGGCATTGACATATTTGGAGAGTAGAGGCCATTTATTTTATAGAATGTTCCTCAGTTTGTGTTTATTTGATGTTTCTTCATGATTATTGGGATTTATTAATTTTTGGCAGGAATAGCACAAAAGTATTGTGTCCTTGGTGTGATTTCAAAAAAAGTTTTTACTTTTATCCTAAGTATTTTGTTTGTTGTTGTCATTATTTTTATAGAGATGCTTCTTCCAGGAGCTTTTTAATCACTCATTTAACAAAAAATTACTAAGTACTTTCTGTTTAAGGAAGTATAGGGGATACAAAGACTAGACATTCTTGTTTCAGCAAAGAATTTATAATCTCAAGGGGAAAGGCATCCACAAAAATAACTTCTTTTTCCCATGGTATCCCGTTGTGATTTGTAAGGTATATATCCTAAGACTTTAGAGATCCCTAGGTTTCCAAATGCCATGTGCTGATTCAACACCTCTCCCTCCCCCATTAAACACTGTAAAGTATAACTGAAATTTTTATGGACCCTTTTAGAGCCTTAATGATTATATAAATACAGAGCTAAAGTCATTTGTAAAGCTTTTAAATAAATTGGACGGCTAAAAGAATATATATACACTCTGTTTGTTCATTTTAATTTAAGATTAGCCGTGACCTTGCAGATGTCTGTCAACTCAAGGTGGTGATAGTAGATGATTCTCCTACATGAGCCAAGTTGTAGACCATGACATGAGCCACTGCAGAATTGAAAGTTCTACTCCTTTGCCCCAAATTTCTGTATCTTGCTAAGAACCGGCCTTACCTTAGCACTCTTTCCTTTTATCAACATTCGTTTCTAGATTTCCACTGAAGAAAGTTCTATTGCTTCCTTCATGGCTGAGAAGGAACCATGTAAAACCAGGCAAGAGAGAAGCAGGTAGACAGCGAAGAACCTTCATTGCTGAGACTTGCTCCCACTCTTAGTAGTAAGATGAGTGTGGTGCAGTTTTGTCCCTGAGCAAGACTATTGTATACAGTGGGCCTTAGACATGCTGGTGAAGAATTAAATCATGAATGTTGTCCTTCATTGCCAGAGGTTTGCTTTCCTTTCTCCCTTCCTCACTCCCTCCTCCCTTTATGCCTTCTTCTCTCTTTTTCTCCCTTGCTTTATTTTAAACTATACAAATAATACACAAGAACACATTCATAATATGTGAGTTTCACTGAGAACAGAGCCTTTGCTTTTCATGCTTCACTTACCGTACCTTGTGTGTTGAGTGACACGTGCAGTAGAAGAGGTGGAGAGAGTGAAGTGTGCAGAGCAAAGAGGTTCCCTTCTTTTTGCCCTGTCCCCTCACCATGGTAACCATTCTTGTCAGATTATTCCTTTACTTTTTTAAAAATATTTTTTGTTTATTGATTTTAGAGAGAGAGGAAGGGAGAGGGAGATAGAAACATCGATGAGAGAGAACATCGACTGGCCTCCTCTTGCAGGCCCCTGACTGGGATTTGTCCCACAACCTGGGCATGTGCCCTACTGGGAATTGAACTGGCGACTCCTTGGTGCATGGGTTGATGCTCAACCGCTGAGCCACACTGGCCGGGCAGTCAAATTATTCTTTTGTGTAGTTGGCAGTACTCTGTTCTGCTAGAGAGTTAGAGTGACTTAATTTTATCTTTGGAGCAAGGCTTGGCTAAGCAGAATGTAGTTTAAGCACTCCGGGTTTTTCTTATCTGTGTGTAGCTCTTCCTTTACCCTAAACTGGGAGTTAGTTCCCTGTGCACTCTCAGGGAGCGTGATGTGACTTACCGCCTTCACTGCAGCCGCAGAACTCGCCTTCAGGAGGCGGAAGCTGGTGACCGGCCGCAATCATATGTGAGATCATTAAAGTTTTCTCAAGTGTAATGATGGCATAAAGCTCTATATATGTTATATAGAAAGCAATGAAGGTACATTTTTAATAGTTTTTCTAGTTACCCAGCCTGTTTCTGGGACACTGAATTCTTCTGTCAGAATGCAACTGTTTTAAAATTCAGCTTCCTCCTTTGTTGACTTAGAGTAGTTGAACCTAAAGCCTTGACCATATAACATCATATCCACCAACTTAACTTCCTTATATTATTCTGCATTGATTCACATTTAACATGTGTCTGTTGTGTGAACTTCTTCAGTGAGGAAATTGATTTGACTATGTTGAAGAACTTCTTTATAAAAAGGACATCTCAAAAAATAAAGGCTTAATATTATTTTTCTGAATCACAGGTAATATATAAGATAGAATAAGCAGCACATTAACTTGGAAACTGTAAAAATGCCTGCATTTTAGTTAACTTATTTTACTCTCATATTGTGAAGAAAATATGACACACATGGTTTTCTTATTTTTCCCAGCTATTGACCTAAAAAATGGCAATGGAAACGTGTATCAAGGCCCCGCGAAAGGCTCTGCTGATGTAACGGTCACACTCTCGGATGAAGATTTCATCAATGTGGTCCTGGGCAAGCTGGATCCTCAGAAGGTAACATTCTTAAAATGTTCATTTCTTCATGTTCATTGCTTTTTGTTTGGCAATTGCAGTTTTTAGCTGACTTCTGAATTCTGACTTATAAGACAGAGCCCTTACGGCTCTGAGGAGGACACAGCAGTGCCCCTGTCTGAGCTGACAGATCATGAATGTTTCCAGTGGAGTTTCAGTGGACGCTCTTTAAAACTGAGTTTTTGGTGGAATTCTTTAGCCTGTGAACAATATAAAACCCACATCTAGACTTTTTATTATACTATGTCATTAATTCGAAGGTTAAAAAACCCTATGATATTAGTAGGTATTTAATAAAATTATACATTCATTTCTGGTGTGTAAGATTAAGAACCTGTCTTACTCATCATGGAAAACCGTAAGCAGAAGGATGGAGGATAACAGCCACAGTCTTCCTGAAGGTGGACCTTTAGAGACAGAATTTTCAGTGGAAAATCACAATTAAGACAAGAGTGCCCTTTGTGACTATGACGGGTTAATATTGTTTTGAAACTTTTGGCCAATCTACAAACACAAAATTAAAGTAACCGATGTAGCACTTAGAATGGAATAAAAAAAAGTTGTTATTTTCAAATCATGATTATGTAGCTAGAAATCCCAAAAGAATCGATGGATTGGTTTTTAGACTAGAGTAGTTCAGGGAAGTGGTAAAATGACAATAATTATTTAAAAATGGCTTTCACATAGCAGCAAAACCAACTAGAAGATATAATTGGAAAAAAATTGTTTATAATTACAACCTAAACTAAAAAATACTAATGACCGCCCTAATAAGAAAAGTACAGTGCTTATTTGAAGAAAACTATACAACCTTACAAGGACCAGAGCAATTTGAATAAAGTGGAAAATGTTTGGTTTTCCTGGATAGAAAGACTAAAAAGAATTGTAAAGTAGTACAGTACAAAATATGTTCTTTGTCATCAGATAAATCTGAGTTTGAATCTTAGCCCTGCCACTTACTCTCTCAACCTCAATTTTCTTCTCGGTAAAATGAGTAGTGACAACAACCCCAAAGCATTGTTAGGATAACTGAGTGCAGTCATGTACGTGAGGGGCTTGGTAGGGGCTTGGTTAGTGCTTGGTGTTGCGTGTGTCCTCAGCTGATCCCCTCCCAGGCATTCACTGAGTGCTCACTCATGTTCGGGTTCTAGGGGCAGCTGAGCAAGACAGAGCCCGGCTGTGCGGAGCTTAGTTTTAGAAGTTAACGGAAAAGAAACATAATTTCTAGTATAAAGAAAAATAAGTCAGGGTAGCGGGTTAGAGTAATGGTCGGCAAACTCTCTGTCCAGGGTCACACTTTAAATGTTTCAGGTTTGGGGCCCGATGGTCTTTGTTGTGCACACTCAGTCCTGCCATTGTAGTCAAAGCAGCCATAGATAATGTGTGAACAAATGGGTGTGGCTGTATTCTGGTAACACTTCAGTTACACAAATAGGCAGCGGACCAGTGCTGGCCCACGGCGGCAGTGTGCCCACCCTGGATTGGCGGACAGGACAGCGGAACTGTCTGAGATAGGATTGTCAGTCCTGATGGAGGCCTGAGCAGAGTGACAGGCGAGCCACAGGCTCAGGAAACAGCTGCAGAGGCTTGTTCGGGGAGTAGGTCACGCACGACCAGTGCTGCAACCGTGGGGAGGCACTGACAGAATGGGCAGTGGGGAGAGTGGGAGGAGGTGAGGTGGGTGGGTAGGCAAGGCGGGATCACACAGGACCTTGCAGGACTCGGTAGGGAGTTCAGGTCTGTGTGTGATAGGAAGCCACTGAGCTGAGTGGAAAATGGACTTTAGGGGGAGAGAATGGGTACCTAAGAGTTCTTTTTTTAGCCTTGGCCGGTTTTGCTCAGCGGTTAGAGCGTCAGCCCGAGGACCAGAGAGTCCCAGGTTCGGTTCCCGCTAAGGGCATCTACCTCAGTTGCAGTTTGTCCCCGGCCCTGGTTGGGGTCGTGCGGGTCGTGGCCAGTCGATGTGTCTCTCTCACATTGATGTTTCTCTCTCTCTTCCTCCCTCTCTCCCTCTCTCTCTATCTGAAGATAAATGCAAAAATGTCCTTTGGTGAGGATTAAAAAAAAAAAGAGTGTTTTGTTTTTTTAGATATGTTATACTTGAAATGTCTGTATATAAAGATTAAATGTAGGATTAAGCTACTAGACTAATTTATGTAATTTCTAGGAATACCAGACCTGTGGGGTGAATGGAATTCAGTGAATGACACGGGGCAGTTGCTTAGGAAATGGGTTTGCTTTGTGGCATTCCATACACCTAAGTCAGCACCGTACAGAATGGAGTCAAGCGTAAAAAATAAAAGCAGAAGCAAACACTTGATGAGAACCTAGATATTTATTATTCTTAATGATCATCCTTAGAGAAATGCTAATTAATATCAGAGGTTTTCTAAACTCATTTGATTCTCTTACCTTCTCTCTAACCTCAGTGCTATTTATCATCACTATCAATGCACCGTTGGCCCTCTATACCCAGGTTTCACACCCATGGAATCGGAGTCCTGACTATATTTATTTGAAAAAATCTCACATATAAGTCCACCTGCACAGTTAAAACCCATGCCATTCAAGGGCTAGCTGTATTTTATTTAACTCAGTACATTCAAATATTTCAGCATGTAATCAATATTAAAGATAATAATGGAATATTTTATATCCTTTTTTAAAATACGAAGTCTTTACAATGCAGTGGATGTTTTATACTTGCAGTACCTCTCAGCCGGGACTGTCCATATGTCTAGTGCTCAGTAGCCACATGTGCTAGTGGCGACGTTATTGCGCAGCACAGGTTTGAACAGTCTGTCTTGACTTTGCTCTTCTGCCCCCTCTTACCTGATTTCTGCATCTGATGCTGTTCTTGTGAAGGTCACTGTTGACTACTGATTTCCTAGTTCCAAAGAATATTGCTCTATGTCATACTCAACTTTTCAGGAGTATTCATCTCAGTTAATGGCCAATTTCTTGAAATAATTTTACCCATTGGCTTTCATGATGCTCTATTCTCTCCTGTTTTGCTTTCTTCACCTTTGACTATTCCTTATCTCCTTCGGTGACTTCTATCCCAACATTAAATTTTGTTTTTTCTCAGGGCTCATTTTCACAGCTCTTTTCTTTGGTCCATGGGCCAATGCTCTAACCGTTGAGCCAAACCAGCCAGTTCACAGCTCTTTTCTGAAGAACACCTTCCTTAAGGGAGTTCATCCATCCTATGGTATTTAAAGTGGTCTTTGTGTTGACAACTCAGATTTAAATGTCTCTCAGTTTTCTTCTCTGAGTTCCATAGTGAAATAACCAGCTTTCTACTTGACCTCTGCGGTAGGAAATCTCACTGGCATCGCAAACTTACTTGTCCAGTATAGAACTCACGATTTAGTTTTCTCTGTAGTCTTTTTCTTTTCAGGAAATAGCAGCAGCATCCCTTTACCCAACCAATATGCTCAGTAATACAAGACTTGTCTTGGCTTCCTTCTATACCTCTGTATCCTTTCTGTACTTAATCCCACCTGATCTTTCTCCAAAATATTTCTTCAGTTCATTCCCTCCTCTGTATCACTGGTGATCTCACCATCATCCCAGCCTCCATCGTCTCTCATCTGGCTGCCTGACTGGTCTTGCTGCTTCCAGTCTTGAAGTATTGTTTACATTTTATTTTTTGACTCTCCTCCTATAATATTCATTCCGTGAGAACAGGGAGAGATGTCTATTTTCTAGCCAGAATATTGCCTAGTATACTGTAGTCATTTAGTTAATACTTGAGTAGATTAAAGCCATAGAAATAAGGAACATAAGCTCAACAGCAGTGTTTAGGCTATGCAGAAATGAAAAACTCTGCATGTCAGCCCTGGCCGGTTTGGCTCAGCGGTTGGAGAGTCAGCCTGCGGTACAGGGAGACCCGGGTTCGGTTCCTGCTAAGGGCACGCACCTTGGTTGCAGTTTGTCTCCGGCCCTGGTTGGTCGTGCGGGTGGCAGCCACTCGATGTGTCCCTTCACGCCGATGTTTCTCTCTCTGTCTTTTCCTCTCTCTCCCTCCCGCTCTCTCTGAACAAAAAATGGAAAAATGTCCTCGGGTGAGGAAAAAAAACCAAAAAACTCTGCATGTCAGACTCCATAAGTTATTACCATAAACCTGGGGAAAGTAAAGATGATGATGATACACAGTTTATTGGCGTCAGTAACCTCTAAAACATTCTGGAAAGCACGAAGACCTCAATAGAAAAAAACGGGCAAATAATATAAACCAGTAATTAGTGAAAAAAATAGAAATGACTAATATACATAAGAAAAACTATTGATTTTTTTCCAGGATCTAAAATGCAAATTAAAGCATGCCATTTTGATTCAGATTTTCAAAAATTAAGAAAATAGTGTTTGTCAAGGTTGGGTGTGAGAATTCACCTGTAGCTGGAAGGAACTGTAGTTTAGTACAATTGTCTTTCCTAAAAGCACTGTGGCAGAGGCTCGGTGACGTCCTTTGTTTATGGCGAATCACAGTCTCAATACTTCTTGCATCACACTCCAAAAGAAATACCAAATGATTTTGTTATTAAGTAGTTAGGTCCAAGCAAGAGCAGTTTTTCATGTTGCAGTTTTTTATATTGGACCAATTTTTTAAAAGTCCTCAGCATCCCTGTGGGCTTGCCGTGATGCCCTCGTGCTCCGTAGCGTTGGGCTGGAAACTGGCAGTGTGGACATCTGGTCAGGAACCTTATGTGTGAGAAATGTCACGATTCGTCATTCTTCTTCAAGGGATCTATTCTAAGAAAATAGTCAAACAAGAACAAAGATTTATGTACACAATTCTTCTGCTTAATAACAGCCATCAAATATTGGTGTGTTTACTTCAGGGAATTAGGTGTTATTATTTTAGGTGTGAGTCCCTCTGAGACCTCAGCACCTGGCAAGCAGGCCAGTCAGTACTGAGGCCTCTGCAGCAGCCGGAGGCCATCGTCCCTGTAAGTGCACAGTGAAAGCAGTCTGAGCTGGAAATCCCAGCGTCCAGTTTGAAAGGCTAGCACTTGATCCTCACTGAATGAGTCCCCCCTTATTATTTCTGGGATGAAAAGTTTAAGTAGTTTTTGCTTTTCCTCCAGCTGATGAGGATTGGCTTCCGAGATTAAGTTGCTACTAGTTAATAAGCAGGAGACGTTGTTGAGCAAAGAACACCTGAGTTCAGGACTTGGCCTCACTTCTTGCTGGCTCTGGCCTTGGGCAGGGGTAAGCTGTCTGAGCTTCAGTTTTCTCATCTGTTAGTGGGGGTGACGATTGCTGTTGTGCCCACTTCAAGTGATGCTCTGCTTCTCAAGTGAGATTCTATTTGTAGGTCTGCTTTGTTATGTTACATATACATGGCTATTACTATTTTATGATGTAGCTAAAAATCTAGGGACTTTTTAATTTTACATTATTTTCTCAGTAAGTTATAAAAACGGATTTATTATTTTTATTTTACTGGTAGAGAACTTGACTCCTAGGAGGAACTTAAGCAACTGGTACAAGTTCCTTTTGTCAGATCAGAGACAGAGGTGGTTCAAGAGCTCTTAGTGCTTAACATGACAGCCTTTTGTTTGGTAATAATGAGCTTTCTGTGTCTTTCCACATGTCAGACACTAAGCTATGCACTTTACACACTCTGTACTTAACTCACACCGCAGCGCTGTGTTATTTAGGTACTGTTGTCCTGCCCTTCTCGCCGCGGAGGCTGGAGCTCAGAGAGCTTATGGAATTTGCCCAAGCTCGGCTGTCAGTGGCAGAGCCTAGATTTTACCCACACATTCTAATGCTGTAGCCCAGACTCTATTCACTACTTTGTTACACTGTCTTACTTTATCATTATATGGCTTTCTATTTCACGAAGATGTAATAACTATTTTTAATCCACTTTTAAAAGTTCTGAACTTAATATTTTCATTGTTAAGAATACAATAAAGCCTTTTATTTATATGGTCTCAAATTCATGTTTAAGGACATAGACTAAAACGGAAGCATATGTTGAAGCAGAACTCCCAGATCTGTCGGTTCAGATAAATTATTTTCTGGTTTTCTAAAATGCACAGGAGTCTGTTTTCTTAGCTGTCTAAAAATATCTGTAATTATTAAACTATCATTGCTAGATAAAAGTTGTCAAGAGTAACTCAAGTGTACTACGTCTAAACAATGATCTTTTAAAAATACAAATAAACTGTGACATGATAAAGTTTGGTGCTCTTTCCCTCTCTCTCCCTCCCAGGCATTCTTTAGTGGCAGACTGAAGGCCAGAGGGAACATCATGCTGAGCCAGAAGCTTCAGATGGTTTTCAAAAACTATGCCAAGCTCTGAAGGACGAGCTGCATTGTTAATAAAAATGGAAGAATACTCTCTCCACCCAAATACGCGGAAGTGATTCAGCAAAAATGTTCAAAACCGACATCAGGAGAAATCGCTTAACTTTCAAATTTCAGCTAACTTTTCAGATTTTCATTTTCTACTAATTTTTCATGTTATTATTTTTACAAGAAACTGTAAAATAGCATGTAATTTTTCTTCTTAGATCTTATCTTCCTAATAAAAATTTTTCATTGAAATCTACTCTCCTTAAAATTGTGATAACATTTGTAAATTGAAAGGAAAATTAAATTAGTAAAGGCTACTTTGATGATGTCTTCTGCACTTTTTGTTATTTTCTGTTCTCTAATTTATTGAAACCCCAGTTTTAACAAGAATTTTCATATAGGTAGGTACTCATTTTTCAGACTTTGCTATAGTAGGTAGGATTCTGCTTTAAGGCAAGAGAAAGGTTTTTGTGTTCCCAAATAGTTTTCTTTCTTCCTCTCTCCCCCTTTTGTTAGAAATTCTTTACTTTCATCTAATGCTTGTAAGTCTACCGACTATATAGCTTTATTACATAGTTGGTAAACTTAAATCATAAGATGATCACTAGCAGGTACTGTCATATTATCGTTTTCCCCAACATTTAGCTCAGATGATGTATGCTGAGAAAATGCTCTTTCGATGGCTTGCTGCCAAGGTAATGGGAAAGTGCATGGATGCTTAGGAAGAGAGGAAGTTTCCATCATGGAGCACCTTGGAGGAGAGTATGTGTGGGTGGGTGAGTTCTCGGGGAAGCCAGCTTTGAGATGGAGATACTGGGAAGTGTTCTTGGGATCCATCAAGACCCAGAGGGCAGGGTGGGGGAAGCAGAAGAGGCAGGGCTAGGCAGAGGAGAGGTTACGCTGTGGGGCAAGTACCACCAGCCTTCTTCAGGTACTTCAAGGAGCTCAGAAGCGGGGATGGCCTTGAGGTTTGTCCTGAGGTAACTAGTCATTGATTATGGCCTGCCCTGTAAAGGGGCCATGACCTTGGACGAAATAGAGCAATTCCTGGAGTATGCTTATAGTCAGTTGATTATCTTCCCAGCAGCTAGAACGATATGTCTTCAGTCCAGAATAGGGCTTCTGGGAGGACGCAGCACAGTGTTTTGGCTCAGGGAACAAGACTGAGGAAATCAGAGTTTAGGGATCAAAAGAGAAGGTCTCCGAAATTTAGAATTTTAGTGTTTGGCACAGTGCTGGAACATACTACAGCACCTCAGGATGTTGATTTAATGAATGAGCAGGATATGCAGAAGGAATAGAAGAAAAGTTATGTATTTGACAACTAGGCCTTAATCTTAGGAACTTTGTATGGTATCTTAAAACTAACTTTAATTCAAAGTGATCCATTGTGATGCCGCATGACTTAAAAGAACAGTGGCAGTCTTTATTTTTTTAATCTCCACCTGAGGATATTTTTCTATTTATCTTCAGATAGAGTGGGAGGGAGGGAGAGAGAGGGAGAGAGGGAAACATTGATGTGAGAGAGAGAGACATTGATTGGCTGACTCCTGCACAACCCGAACCAGAGCTGGGGTCAAATTACAACCGAGGTATGTGCCCTTGACTGGAATCGAACCCACGACTCTTTGGTCCAAGGGCCGACACTCTAACCGCTGAGCCAGACCAGCCAGGGCAACAGTGGCAGTCTTTAAATGTTGATTTTTTATAGTAGCTATTATCCCTGTTGAGCTTGAAAAAGCTTATTGTCCTTCCCGATAGAAATAGCATGTTAAAATTAATCATATACCACCACACATTAATAAATGTGTTGAATATATACCTTAGAAGTTTAAAACCTGTTAAGAAAGGGATGTTTTAATTATCTTGCTGACCTATCTGTCAGTTTTAAAGGTCAGAGAGACACTGGTATCCAGATTCAGCAGCAGTTTTTTATTAGTCCTCTGCTCCTTGACCTTGCTATAATAGTTAGTTATTGAATGCACCCACCTCCTTCATCCGTCACTCCCCTTTTATCCTCTGATGATAACTGTGTTAACTTCCCAGTGAGCTTACGGGTTCATCTCTCTTATCTCTTTTGTAATTTTCTCTCTAGCTATTTTTTCTGGATTTTTTAAATCAAGATTTTAGCCTTCTCTTTTTAGGAGATGTTTTCTTCCTGGATCATTCAATCTACTTGTATCTTCAGCCATTATTGTAAGTGCTGGTAACTCCCAATCTGTGTCTTTAGCTTTGATCTTTCTGTAATTCCCAGTTCCATCCACAGTCCCAAAGCATCACGGGACTGCTGTCACATAGTCACTGCGGATACACGTGTGTCCGAAGTGAACATGTGCTCTTCCTCGCCTCCCTGACATCTGCGTCTGTTCCTGGCTTTTGTCTTAGTTAAACTAGAACATTGCTTTTTGCCTGAACTAAAAAACCAGTCATTTTGACTTTCCTCTTCCTCACACCCCATATTTAATTCTTCACCAACTTATGTCTCTTCTACTTCCTGAATATTTATGGATTTTATTCTCTGATACCACTACTTAAGTTTACTCGATAGCTCATTTTAACAGCTTTCCAGTGGTCCCTCCAGTCTGTTACCGTCCACCCTCACCACCCATCAAAGAGGCCTTCCGAACATGTGACTTCCCACCCGAGAACCTGTGATGGTCATGTTTTTGTCAGACTTGTTTCCATGGCTCAAGGCTGCATCGGTTGGGATTCTCTCAGTTGTAAGGAATAAAACCATTTCAGGTCGGCGTGACAGAACTTACCGACAGCCGAAGGGTAGGACTGGCTTTGAAACGGGGTGATCCAGCAGTTCAGTGGTACCGACGCCCCATCCCTTGCTGTCCCGCTGCCTACTGCGTCCTCCAGCTCCGTGTGGTCTCTGAAAGCTCCCGGTAAACTCATCCTTACGCCTCCCGGGTGTCACCTGTGCGAAGCTGTTCTTAACCAGCACGAGTAGGACAATCTCTGACTTCTCACAGAAATTTGTATTTTATTTTTTGTTAATCCTCACCCAAGCATATTTTCCCATTGACTTTTAGATAGAGCGGGAGGCAGGGAAAGAGAGAAAGAGAGAAACATTGATGTGAGAAACACATTGATTGGTTGCCTCCCACAGGACCCTGACCAGGGCTGCTGATCGAACCTGCAACCGGGTATGTGCCCTTGACTGGGAATTCCTGTTGTGGTTATAAGAAGGTAGACAAAAGGTACAGCTTCCCAGCCCCCCCCTCCCCCCCAAAAAAAACCAACAGAAGGGAAAGCACTGGGTTCTCTCAGAAGCCCCACTGAAGTTCTCACCTGGTCTCACCAGCTGTGATGGGTTAAAAGCCAATTCCTGAACCATCACTATAGCTAGAGATATTAAATATACTGACTGGCCTTCATCTGCCGGGGCCCTTACATGTAGCCAAGGATAAAGTGTTGGGGAGCCCAAGACTTCCCCCAGTTTTGGTGGTTTGCTGGGAGGACTCAGCAGATAGTCATACTCAAGACTATGACTTATTACAGGAAAACAACAAAGCAAAATCAGAAAAGGGAAAAGGGCACGGAGTGAATGTCCAGAGATCAGGCGGAAGCTTTTGAGAGTTCTCTCCCCATGGACTTACACAGGACATGCTTAATTCCCCAGCAGCAGACTGGCAGTAGGTACGTGTCTACCAAGACTCAGCATCCAAAGCTTTAATGATCACATAGGCTTCTGCCAGAGCCTGGATCAAAATTCTGGGCTCCTCGAAGGAAAGCAGATGTTTAATATAAACCACGTTGTTTGTACAGTTTGGGCACAGGGAGCCCCTCTTATCAGTGAGGGAACAGTGGAAACTTCCTGAAATCTAAGTTCCCAGATGCCAGCCAAGGGCCAGCCTTGCAAGCAAACCTTTCTAAGGACAGCGGTCAGGCTGCCGTGTTCACTCTTTTCCTTGCTCACAGGATCCCCTGCACCTAAATCACAGGGCCCGAGAGAGAATCAGGTGTGATATACTGGGGAGTTTAGAGTTCTGGGAGCCAAATCAGAAATATCTACTCCTGAGCTCTCTTAAACTATTTTTTTTTTTTTTTACCTCATCACCTGGTAAACTCTGCATCCATAAGCCTCCCAAGTGTGTCACCTGTGCGAAGCTGTTCTTAACCAACACGAGTAGAACAATCTCTGACTTCTCACAGAAATTTGTATTTTATTTTTTTGTTAATCCTCACCCAAGCATATTTTTCCATTGACTTTTAGATAGAGTGGGAGGCAGAGAAAGAGAGAAACATTGATGTGAGAAACACATTGATTGGTTGCCTCCCACAGGACCCTGACCAGGGCTGGGGATCGAACCTGCAACCAGGTATGTGCCCTTGACCGGGAATTGAACCCACAACCCTCGGTCCGAGGACTGACGCTGGTAACCACAGCCAAACCCACCGTGGCAGAACTTTCTATTTCAAAACAAATAATCTGAGAGAGCTGATTTTTATATTGGAGATAAATAGATATGTGTAATAATCTAATAATAATACTACCCTGACATTAACTTTGTCTTTTAGGCCAACAAATATTGTAGCAAAACTAAATGATAATCCAATTCCATTGAAAATTTGGAAGGTGAGAAGCCTCAAAAGCTGAAAGTGATGGAAAGTGATTTTCTGAAGAGCAGAAGATTTTAGGTCAGTGTGGACTAAGGTATTTAAGAGGAGAGAGAAAGAAAATAACCCATTTAAAAACCCATAAATAGGCAAAAGAGCAAAATCGCATGCTTTGGTAAAAAGTGAATCTAGGTTTAAATCACATGTATATGCAATATATTGGCAGAAGTTGCCTAGTAAGTGACATCTAGATATCAGGGTTAATTAGCGTAGCTTAAAAAGGAACAGAAACCCTGGCGGTGAAATGTCGAGGCACTGAAATTCAGAGCTCTGTATAGCCTCGTCCAGAACCCATCTTTTAAGAAGCTTGGTTGAATAACTTTTGAGTCCATAGCTGACAAGAATAAAAAAAGAGAGAGGTGGAAGGAACCGTATGTTGTTGGGGACAGTGGCTGGGGAAGTTTTTCAAGGTGGTGTGGAAGAAGACAGAAATTAAACCAGAAAACACAGACTAAAGGTATTATTTCAAGTGTGAATCATGTGAAGGAGGTTGAACATCTCCTTATTCCTCAATCTCCTTTGAA